GTTGAATCTTTAAGTTCTTTGTTGCTTTCTCTTTCGCTAAAACCATTGGTTTTGGCTTATATAAGATAAAATGTCTTCTCAATAATAAATAGTAGTACAAATATTACTCATAGGAACACCACATAAAAAGGCATATAATCTCAACGTTCTTTGACCAAAAAAAAATCTCAACGTTCAACTTTATTGCTCTATGTGAATGAAAAGTGGGACCTTACTAGTTTAGTAACCCACCACATAGATGTATGTATATCGTGGATCAGTCAAAACAAATTTCGATTTCCGAAAGAAATCATATACATTTTACTCGTCCTTCGAATCGATTCGTACATGTCTCTTGTCAAAAACAGCTTTGAAAGACTCACGCTCTGCTCTAAGCTGATCCTGGAAAATTCCTCTTACCTTTGCTTTTCCAATTGCATCAGCGAGCGCACGACTCTCTTCTTCTGATAGAGGATTCGATTTCTGCATAAACCCATGACGAACAAAATTTTAAAAAGATATAGGAATCAGAACAAGAACACAAGCTTTTTATTTCCGTTTGCTTACCAAGTTGTATCCTGATCCAGGACCAATAACTAAAGAAGGCATGTTCATATTCCTCGCAGCACCAATCGAAAAACCCGCGTCTCCACCCTGTATCCGCAGAAATAAATGCATGTATGGTCAGAAATTTTCCAAAAGAAAAACATGTTTTTAAGCGAACAGATTTTCTAGAGACGAAAATAACTAGCAAATAAAGTTGCGTATGTTTATACCTTATCGCCCCACCAAACAGTTTTGCCTTTCCGCGAGCGTTCTTGGCTTGACCTGGAAAGGGATTTTGAGTTTCCTCTTCTACTTCGAGATTTCTCTGTTTCCTCGTCTTCCTCTACATTCGACCATTTACTTCTGCTTAGTTCTTTCACTTCTTCTTTATGGGAGTTAGGTTCTGCTTCCCATTTACTATCACTTGTGTAAGACCCTGAGATGATATCAACAGAAAGAAAGATTCAGCTAAGTGGTAAAAAAAAATACGAAGGAAGTATAAATGAAGCATTTAGATTTACTTTCTGTCACACCCTTTCCTTCTGACTGGGTGTTGTTATCGGATTTTCTTTCTGGCACTCCAAAATCATCTTCCATGTCCATATCCACCTAGAGCAATTTTTTGAGAAGTTATGAAGTGGGATCATATAATGAAGGCAAAGATTAAAACAAAGGTCCAAACAGGGTATTATATAAATCCTTGTCTACTCAAGGATAGAGAGGTGTATAAAGAAGTTATTCTATTACCTCGTGGATTCCATTTTCTTTCAGGTCATCCCACCGCGTAAAAGACTATCAAAGAAAAAGAAGATCATAAGATATTGTAAAAAAATGCAACAAAAATGAGATTACCATTGTTTAAAGTCCCATCTTATGATCAGTTTCCTTCAGTTCAACGCAAAATCATACATCAAGGCATTAATATGGCATCTTCTTCTCATTGTCAATGATGTATAGAAAAAAAAAAAACAGCATAAGAACCTTGATATCCAGTTGCATGTACAACGATGGAGCTTCTTCCCATTGATCTGCCATCTGCTGCACTTGATCTAGTGTGATGCCATGTACGTTTCTTGCTGCACATCCCTGTAATTTCGCACCCGCTTAGAACAGCAAGAAATGTGAATGACATAATATAATACAAGTATGAACAGCTAGAAAACGAAAACTACAATTAAGATACAGAATCTAAACTTATCGAAGAGTAAATAGTATGTCGATAACTTACAGTTGGGTCCTTGTATGCTGCTTCCAATATGTAAGCTTCATATCCAGATCTCTGCACAAGAAACAGAATGTCAAGGAAACTTCCATGTAAGATTCAGATAGAAGATGGAATCATCTTCTATACTGGATGATGAACACGCTTTAGTTGAACTTGTCTCAAATGTTATAAGTAACAATTCAAAGTTCATCGTTTACAACAAGCATCCAATCATACACAGAAAAGAGACTGTTGGGATCTACATTTCAGGTAAATAAAATGAAGTCACTGGTCACTGTGCAAAATCAAGGCAAAGGAAGATTGAATCAAACTGAAATTTAGCAAAAGAGGAAGAGGTGGATTCTCGCATTCAAAGCCTTGTATCTAAACCGTATTAGTTTTCAGCTGGTCAGGAAGCCATCTTCCAAAGGTAAACCATATTCATGTGATCATAGACAAATAAAAAAACTAATGAGCATGGTGGCAAAAGACAAAAAAAAGGAAGTAGTAGTGCACGCATTGCCCCAAGCAGACAGTACCACTATTTGTTATAAGTAACTAGGAAAGGACATGAATCAGAGTAAACTAATCATTGAATGCATGGCTACTGAAATAAAAAGAATGGCAACCTCACATAAAATTGATTGCATGATGTTTAGCAAACAAAAAAATGAATAGCAACTCCAACTTTAGCGAAATGCCACTATAAATAGTACATACAGTCACTAACAAGACTAATAACCCTCATAAAGGAGAAAGGAGTTGCAAAAAATTAGATGTTGCACCATCTCAATGTCCTTTTTGATGATATATACACCACC